ATCAATGTATAATAACGTATGAATCATGCTGACTGAGTAAAGCCCTGATCTCATGACTTTTAATGTTTAAACAGTGACTCATTTCACCTGTTGCACTTTGAGTAAATATAAAATCATCCATGGGATATCTGTTTGTCTGTGATTAACTATGACTTGTTTTCTTTGATTCACATTTCTATCTAACAAAACCCATTTTAAGGCTGCTGTGTGTTTAATGCAAGAAGATGTGGTCAATGGAAGAAGCTTTTCTAAGAAATTCAGAATAAGCCATAAGGCACCAGGGACGATATTACGTCTTGTAATTTACTGCCATGTAGGTGCAAGAAAAGGCATAATGTTTGCACAAGATTCTATGATGTAACATGCAGACTTGATATAAAATTAATAGAAGTATTCTAAAAGATACTGAATAGATTAGGTACTTTAGCTATGGGTCCCAATTTGGCAGTGCAGTACAGAGCCCTAAGATGTCTTCAAACAGGACTTGTGCTGCCTACTTCAAGGCTGAACTTGGTCCCTGATACGTCAAGTTACTGTATGTGGATATTGACACTATGTTTTAAGAGTGCTGTCAGGTAGGTAATAGAGATGGATGAACTGGTTCAGAAAAGTATGTCATCTTGAAATATGAACCAAAGTGCAAATGTAACAAAACTTGAAACTTTCTGAGACTTCTAGGATCCCTCAGTCCAAAGTGATCTTTTGTTTCATTCCTTTGGGGGTAGTGTGGTTGAGAGCTCTTCTCTCCTTTTAATGGGCCTTCTCTTTCTCTGTCTGACCTGTGCAGCACCTCTCTCAGAAGGAAGGCCCTCTGCAAAAGTTCAGAGTTGCCCATTGGGCCCCAAAGGACATTTGCAAAGTTTCAACTCTATGGAAAAGAATCTACAAATACAGAGACTTTCTGCACTCCAGAATATGCTATCACAAAATTAGAGAGTTATGGAGAATGGGTCCACAAAGTTTCCCTCCTCACCCCAAAACATATAGAAGCAGAATAGGAAGCGACTGTTTAGGAAGGAGTACTGCAGAAGGAGATCTAGGGGCCATAGTGGACCACAAGCTAACTATGAGCCAACAGTGTGGTGCTGTTGCAAAAAGCAAAAAAGAAAAAAAAAAAGCAGACATGATTCTAGGATGCTCTAACAGGAGTGTTGTGATCAAGACACAAGAAGTCATTCTTCTGCTCTATTTTGCACTGATTAGGCCTCAATTTGAGTATGGTGTCCAGTTCTGGGCACCACATTTCAAGAAAGATGTGGAAAAATTGGAGAATGTCCAGAGAAGATCAACAAGAATGATTAAAAGTCTAGAGAACATGAACTATGAAGGAAGATTGAAAGAACTGGGCTTTAGTTTGGAAAGGAGAAGACTGAGAGGGGACATGATAGCGGTCTTCAGATATCTAAAAGGGTGTCACAAGGAGGAGGGAAAAAAATTGTTCTCCTTGACCTCTGCTGATAGGACAAGAAAAAATGGGCTTAAACTGCAGCAAGGGAGGTTCAGGTTGGACATTAGGAAAAACTTCCTAACTGTCAGGGTGGTTAAACACTGGAAAAAATTGCCTAGGGAGGTTGTCGAATCTCCATCTCTGGAGATATTTAAGAGCAGGTTAAACAGACATCTATCAGGAATGGTGTAGATATATTGGGTCCTGCCATGAGTGCAGAGGACTGGACTGGATGACTCTTGAGATCCCTTCCAGTTCTAGTGTTTTATGATTCCAATGAGGAGTGCATTAACCTGCACCATTGGCACTAATCCGTAGAGAAAGAGAAATGAGGAACAATGGCCTGAGAAATCCAGGCAGTAATGTAGTAGCAAGCCCTCTCCATTTCCCTCTCTGCTCCCTAGAAAACAAAACAAGAACAAGATGTAGATCAAAGCCTTGGTCTGCAGGATGATGGGGAGCTTAGTGGTGAGTGGAGTTGATGTGATACCGATTGTGCAGAGAGACTGGGCACCGGCAATGGTTCAGATAAGGTAGTTAAGCATCAGTCACTGAAACTGAATTGTCTTCAAAGGTCTGGTAATTACTCATCAGGAGAGAGAGACCAATCCCAAACACTTTTTCACTTTCCTCCCTAAAACATGGCCAATTTTGAATAAGGTTCCAGAGCCAAACTGTGGTATAGGAGCGGGCAATAAAATGACAGCAGCTTATACTAGAACAGAGGTTGACAAATACCAACCCTGGTGGACTGCCACTACTATATTGACATGTACCTCCATGGATAAGGGTCTTTGCAGCTCCCGTTGGCCCCATATCATGGCTCCTGGTCAATAGGAGCTTCAAGAACTGGCGCGGACCAGGACACTGCTTTCTGCAGCTCCCGTTGGCTGGGAACAGTGTTCCGCGGTCAACAGGAGCTGCAGCTTAATATAGTGGCAGCCCACCAGGGCTGGTGTTTGTCAACCCGTTCTAGTTGAGCTTGAACCAGAATCCTAAATCCACACAACTATGAACTTCGGAAAAGACTGGGATTCAAATCTAAAATCAAATTGCTAAGCTAAGGCACATATTTCATATTTTTTTTATATAGGGTCACATATGTTCATGTCACTGACATGTATAGAAGAAGGAAGCTGATTAAATTCAGTCCAGTGATGCCTGTAGATTTAATCCCATTTAAATGTAGAGCTAGTATTTTATTTTTATGTTGCAAGAAAATGTTCTGAGATGTGTGTCAAAAACTATTATAGTGTGAAGGGAGGTGGGGGAGAGAAGAAAATCCCTTCTATGAGTCCCAGAAAGTGCAGCCACAGCTTTCAGCTTTTCAGTTCACCATAGCACAAGAAACAGCATTTCTATCTGCCACTTAAGAAGCTAAATTATTTTCTCTCCTTAATGGTTTCTATGCATCAAAGCATAATGGTTAATAGAGAGAGAGAAAATACCTTAATGTTAAACTGTGATGGATTGAGGAGCTTGTGTTACTGTGAAGTCCTGTCCTCTTTTCTCCTTAATTTTAAGTAGCTGTTTATCACTGTGAAAAGGTTGAAGGCAGTGGTTTACTTACCTGTTGTCCTTTGTCCTGAAGGTTTAAAGAAACAATAATAGCAGTGCTGTGTCATGTTCACAAACTGTCTAGGAAATGAATTAGTTACAGATCATTCCTGTGATAAAGGTATAGCTCTTGCCACAGTTTCAAAGACTCCTAGATGTCGTTTCCCCAGAAACTGTGAGCTGATTGGTGGAGACAGTGTAGCTCAGTGAGTCTGAATAAATGTCGAAAAGGGACAAAAATACAAGCCTGAGAAAAGAACCAGTCAGAATCTAAGTTCTATACTTGGCCTTGAATTCTACAGGCAACCAATAAAGTACTTCCATTTAGAGAAGCAACTGACATGTCATATCTGGGACAAAATGGACCATGAAGAAGAGCTCTGTGTACAATGCTTAATTTGAAATGAAAGTGGGACAGGGCTCAAGTGGGGCAGCTGCTAGTGGAGGACTCAGCTCTGAAGGCCAGCTACTGTGCAGAAGTGAGGGTGGTATGCTATAGAATTGCCATCCTTACTTCTGTGTTGCTATTGGCAGAAACGCTGCCTTCAGAGCTAGGTTAGCAGTGTGGAGCCTGCTGTGGCTATGAACTGCCAAGTCAAGAGATACCAGGGCTCACCACAAATTAAGCACCGTCTGTGTAGGTCACGCCAGCTACTGTGCAGAAGTGAGGGTGGTATGCTATAGAATTGCCATCCTTACTTCTGTGTTGCTATTGGCAGAAACGCTGCCTTCAGAGCTAGGTTAGCAGTGTGGAGCCTGCTGTGGCCATGAACTGCCAAGTCAAGAGATGCCAGGGCTCACCACAAATTAAGCACCGTCTGTGTAGGTCACAAGTTTGTCTCTCTCACCAACAGAAGCTGTATCAGTAAAAGGTGTTATCTTCCCCACCTGGTCTCTCTAATATCTTGGAACCAATACAGGCTGTAACACCCTGTCATAAACCTGCCACTGGATGATATTTAAACCACTGAAGTCTCTCTAATATCTTGGAACCAATACAGGCTATAACACCCTGTCATAAACCTGCCACCGGATGATATTTAAGCCATTGACAATAATACTGCTTTTAAGGAGAAGGAGAAACCTCTGTATCAAGTAAAGTACATTCTACGATTTCACAGTCTGTACCAACACTCCAACTGACGTTCATATGGACAACCACCAGAGCAGGATGTTTGACATGAGTGATTCCCCAGCTCTAATTAAACACTGAGTGGATAGGGAGAGGCTGTCAGACACTCATCTTTTCTCAGGTTCCCTTAATTTGGACAATTTAATGATGGCAGAGATTAATTACAGCAGCTAGCAACTACACAACTTGTGACAGGCCTCGCTCCCCTGCAAACCTCCATATGGTGGTTGTCCACATGAACATCAGTTGGAGTGTTGGTACAGATTGTGAAATCCCAGAATATACTTGACTTGATACAAATGCCCTCTCCTCCTTCAGACACTTTCCTGGATCCCACTTCTGCTGAGCCTCTGAGAAGAATTCAACCAACTCTAGCTGAGTGGTAGCCGCAGAGGCTGAACTTACTACTTTTCCCTCACCCCCACTTCATTATTTTCCCTTTCTCCCTTGTACATTATTACACTTACTTTTTATGCCATTTCTCCATTTAGAGTATAAACATTTTGGGGTAGAGACCTTGCCTTCTTGTGTGTTTTGTATAGCATCTACCAAAAAGAAGATTCAAGACTGACTGGCATGTCTGGATAGTAATAGCACAATGCCAATAATAAAAATTAAAATATCCCATTAAATACAAACAGTGACCAAAGCTGCTAGATGAAAACAAATTAGAGGTAAATGCAGGCTAATACTGTAGTTTAAAACTAAGCTCCTAAACACAGAATCCAACGAGACTTGGCCACTTAGACTCACTGAAAACCTCCAACTGAATGTATCAGAGTTTGAAAATGTTGACTGCAAATGTTACTGAAATGTTGATTTGTTCAGGTAATAATGGATTGTTTCCACTTTTATGTACTGTAGCTGTGACTGTCCCACCGAATGGAAAGGAGCGTTTTGCACTGAGACAGTATCAGCCTGTGATCCTGAGCATAACCCATCACATCTATGTAGGAAGGGGGCTACCTGTGTGCCACTGCCTGATGGATATGCATGTCACTGCCCTCTAGGAACCACTGGCACCTTCTGTGAACAAGGTATGGCAAAGCTAGTCCTTCTGTGAACAAGGTATGGCAAAGCTAGTAGGTCTTTTCCTTGATTACCCAAGTGTGGGGTTTTTTCCTCCAAAGGTTGAGTTTTTATTGCCATGTTTTATGTAGGAAGCAAATAAAATAATTAATGGCAAGTAATAAAAATAGAAATGTTTTTGGTTTCACAACCCTTCTGGCTACTGTTCTCTCTAAGACTTTCTGTCCATGAGCAGAGTGAGTTTTGTCTTGTGCACCAATATTGAGGTCATGTGCCCTCACATTCTCTCTCTCTGATAACAATTTTAAATATATTTAAAATTGTTATGCAAGAAAAAATACTAAAACCACAGATAATTAACAAGGTGCATCTGCACTCATGCTAATCAATAGCAAAGCTCCTGGGGGGTGTTGGGATGTTGCCTTTATGAAATGTGCTAATCTCATCTGAGGAAGTGGGGTTTGCCCACAAAAACTCATGATACTATATATATTTTTGTTGGTCTCTAAGGTGCCACAGGACTACTTGTTATTTTTAAATTTAAAGACTAAACACTGCTACTCCTCTGAGACTTTTACTCAGAAAAGTGGCATTTCAGTGCTTTCCAAGCATCTGAATGTATGAAACAGTATGCAAAATAGCATGATCATAAGACACCCTCATGTGTCTGAGAAGCCCTTTGCAGATAATTCATATTAAGAAGAAACTGCTCTTTATTTGATTTTGCATCTTGGTAAAAAATACATTTAAAAAAATCAATACATGTAAATGGCCAAACAAACAAGCGCTAATGTAGGAGCCACACTTCATAAGGCTCCATACTCATGCATCCTTTGTAAGGCTTTCAGAAAATGAGTGCACTTTCAGCACTGTGAAGCAGCATTATAGTCTACCTAGCTTTACTTCCCCTCATAGCTCCAGGAGTGCTGTACCCCTAGGATCTAATTCTATGTTCCCATTGATAACGATTTAAACATTCCTATTAATTTCAATGGGCATTGGTTTAAGCCCCAGGATTAGAGTAAGGATAAACAGGCAACCTGTGAATACATTCATATACCACACAACATTAAGAGTTATTAGCTGCCACTCTCAGAGGGGATGTCTATTCTACCGTGCCTCCCCAACTTCACTGATAGGCTTTGCATCTGTCTGCAGCCTTCTGACCCTTCCATAAAAATGTCTCCCTCGGTTTTCCTCAGGCCTCTCTCTCTATGACTCCTTTGAAGGGTTTTTGTTTGTTTGTTACAGTACTTATTGAAGCTTACATGAATCCACATAGCAAACTGTGAGCATAGAACTGACTAGTCACACCACTCTCTCTGTGATTTGGGGTCAAAACTGAACTGCACAACTCAGGTGCAAATTTGCAGATTTAAACTCTGCTCACAAATCATAGAATACTAGGACTGGAAGGGACCTCGAGAGGTCATTGAGTCTAGTCCCCTGCCTTCATGGCAGGCCCAAATACTGTCTATACCATCCCTGCTAGATATTTATCTAACAATGGGATACCACCTTCTGAAAATTCACCACTAAATCCTTTATCCCCTGTGAGAACATGGCTTGCAGCACTGACTGCCGCAGTTGCCTTTCAGAAATCTTTGTATGAACTCTTAAACTTTGAATTTCCATCTCATTAGGGTTTCTAATTGTGATGCCATCTGGATTCAGGACAGCAGAGATAAAGGAAATATGCTTCACGCAAAGCAGATAATTTAGCTTGTAATAAGTCCAATGTACCAGGACTCCAAATGGGATTGCTCTTTTTGCAATGTGCAGTACAGCAGGTACTCGTGCCCAAGCCATAGAAAACACCCAAGAGAAACTGTGTTCTTTATAGTTTGTTATTCTCTTAATAAATTCTCATCCTGTAATTGGAAAGCACACAGGAAAGCATCTGTTGTACTGATAGATTTTCTTTGGCTTTGTAGGATCCAGAATTATTATACTTGGCCAAAACCCTTTGACCTGCATTTCACCTTATTCTGGCAGAGTAATGAATTATCATTTTTAAAAGTACATTTTTAATTTTTAATGGATGACAAACTGTTGAAACCCAGCTGTATATCAAGATTGAATATCTCTTCCTGGGAATGATGGTGTAATGTTGGCTCAGAAAGGAGGAATGAGAACATATGAAACCTTTCAACGAGGTGAAGCCAGTAGCAGCCAGGGCTGGGTTCAATATTTAGGGGTTCCTTTCCATCGAGCTAACACCAAACAAGTTCAAGTCCTCATCCAGTAACCTGGGAAATTCTCACACTACCCCTGCGGCACCCCTGAGAAGCAATGCATCCCCACTTGGAATCACAGAATCGGAGTGTAGAAAGGAAACTTTTATTAAAAGGGTGGGAAATAACATGGCATTCATTTGGAAAAACACTGCAAACAGGGTTCATAAACATAAACCATGTGTAAAAGTACCACCCTAATTAGGTTGGTCAGTGTCCTTTTCCCCTTAAAATAGGAATTGACTGTCTAGGAAGGAGTACAGGCAGTCCCTGACTTACCCGGATCCGACTTATGTTGGATCTGCAGTTACGAACGGGGCTGCCCCGGAGGACACGGACTGCGGGACCTCGCGGTCCTGCCACCCGTGTAATCCGGGGCTTTCTCCGCATCTCCCTGGTCTGCAGACCAGGAAGACGCGGAGCAAAGCCACGGGGAAGCCGGCAGCGGGACAGCCCAGACACCCCGTGGCTGTCCCGCCGACCGAGCCCCCCCCCCCCCCCCGCCCG